TTCACACCCATGAAAGAGACTCTATTTAGTGCAGTTTTTACACATCCTATGACTCTTTAACCTAATGCTCTAATACCAAGTTTGTCACTCCCCGAGGCTACCCCCTTGACGTAACACGTGACCTAGGATCACGAGTGACCCCAAGCTAACCTTCTGTCTGGCATATGTTAAGCATATTGAGCATAACTGAATAAAAAATATATACTAAGTGGAAGCTAAAATAGTAAATAACTAAAAATGGGGAATACCCAACTAGTCTGAATATAAGAAACATACTAAGAGTTTAGAGATACTGAAAAACCACTCTAAAACTTAAGTTGAATATACTACTCTATCTGAAAAGCCTCTAACTGAGTAGAGTTGTTGGGACATGCCCCCTAACTAACTCTAACAAACTGAAAATTGGAAATAAAGACTGAAATGAAAGCATGTCTATTGTCCTTGAAAAATGAGGACTCACCACTGGAGTTGATGAAAGTGGACCAATAGTTGATCTAAGAGTGATCTAGATATTGAGTACCTGAACCTACATCATGAAAGGATGTAGCGCAAAGTACATGTCAGTACTTGGAATGTACCGACCATGCAGGATATAGATAATAGTTGAACAAAATACATAGGCTGAACAGAGCATAACTGAGCAATGACATAATATGAACTGAACATGAATACCGAAATATAATTGAAAAACTGAGCCAAATGCAATGACCATGTACTAATCATGAACATGACATGCTAAGACTAATTACTGAACTATATACTGAAAACTGGGTCAAATGCACTAGAGTCTCATTGTGGGAGCTACTATTAACCGACATAAAACCACATGAGCTAAACGTGGAGTTTGGTGTATACGCCCTATCGAGAGGACCCAATATACCTTGCCAGGGGTATAAAGGCATGAATGGTGTGATCACTAAATCTGATACCAAACATATGGGACACTACAAGAAAAGTGCTTTTTAACGACCATTTCTTAATGACGGGACATAGATGTGGTCGTAAAAGGTCAAAATATTTTTTTTGGTCGTTAGAGTTAGTTTTAGTCGTTCTAAAATTATTTTCCGATCGTTAAAACAAATTACTAGTGTATATATATATATATATTTAGTATTTATTGAAGAATAATAATATTTGGGTTTAATATTAAATTTACAAATAATAACTTAAACAAAAAAAAGAGGCGCGTATAATTTTTTCCATCGTTTTTATTTGAGGAAAAATCTGAGAGAAGCCCTAAGTTTCTCATCAGTTCCACGGCGCCTAGTTAGGTTTCAATTTTCTTTGTTCATAAGAGAAAAAAGAGATCGTTGTGAATCTACAGAGAGGTTCTTCTTTTTCTCTTTTTCAAGAAGAGTTATTAGCTTTGAATCTACAGAGCAATTGGGAACATCCTCCTCTACAAAATCAATAGTAAGTGCTTGTTCTCTTCTCTCTGGCAAATCGTTAGGAGTGTGTGGTGCTACTGCAGAGTTGGGAAAGCCTATGGCTATTCTATCAACAGGTTTGGAGTGTGTGGTGCTCAAATTTGCAACTGAAGGGGCCAATAAATATTCAATCTTTATTGGTTAACATCTATGGGGTGTGTCCGTTTTTTGCTTATATACAAATTTAAATGAGTCTTGATTGATTTGCTGGTTATGCTATCATCTGTTTTTGTTGTATGAATTTCTTGTGTGCGTTTATATACATGTTTACCACTGAAGTGTTCAATAAAGAGTCGATCTTTATTTGGTTAAATTTTGTGGGGCATGTGCCTTCTGGGGTGGAAATTAAAAAAGATCAAGTCTTTTAAAGGTAGGATGATTTTGGTGCCTAAATACTATGTACTAATGGTTGTTTTTTTCTTCTGATTATTAGTTCACTTACATGTCAATGTTTTGCACAAGCCACTAAAAATGAATCATTCATAAAAATGAAACTAGGATCTGGAAGGTTTTCAATTTGGAGCATTTTGAGATAAAAGAGGGAGAGGTGGTTAAGTTGTGTGTGTGTGTTGGGGGATGGGCTAGCAATTTAATTATGAAATTTCCTATTGCCTGGTCAAATGCAAATTATTTTTTTTGAAAAATATGTCCTAGAACATGTTATTGGATAAGTGAGAGGTTCCTCTTTTCTTATCCCGGAGTTTGTGTGTTTGAGCAATACTTTTGAGATTTTAAATAAGGTTGATACGGAGATTCTTTTTATATGTCTACTGATATGATGATATCTAAAGAATATACTAACCTTACGGTTTTAAGATAGGAAGTTTTCTACATAATGTAGCTGTGGATGTTGGAGTTGCAATGGAATGGATATGAACTATTTGTACATCGGTTGAAAATCTGTAAACTTCTCAAGTCAGCTAGCATCTATTGTTGTAACAATAATCTAATGCTTAGGAGCTTGACTGCAACTAAGAAGTCGTGGATTTAGTGGTTTTAAGAGAGCGGAAAATGTGTCTGGTGCAAGATAAGTTTGTCTTGTGGTATTTGTTTCAGCTTGCGGCTCAAGCTTAGCATATATCCATTTTCTGAAATTCAATTATGTGGTAAGAAAATTGTCATAGTTACGTAATTATTTGATTATGTGATGGGAGACAATGAATCACACACACTAGGGAAGATCAAAGCACCTAGTTTTGGGTGAAGGCAAAAAAATGGGTCCGTTCGATAAATTCAATAATATTTTTGAATCAGATTAATGTATTTATACATGTTAGATATAGGTACCATTTATTTCAATGATGCTCTGACTATGTAGAATTCAGGTTCACATAATTGCTTGAACTAGCCAAGGCCCAAGGTTAAATCCTCAAGGGCAGAAAGCTCAGATGTATAGGACTTGTGCAAAACCTAGACTAAAAACGTTTAGCTCACAACTTCGAAACTATCCTCCATCAGAGTAGGAGTTAAGTTCTTGTGTATCAGCTAGCTTAAGGGATTTGTCTCACGTATCTTCTGCATCTACTGTACAAATATACCAAGTAAGACATATTGGAAAGATTCAGGAATGACATCTTCTATATTTCCCTCCTCGCTCTAACTCGGCCACAACAGAGGAAGTGCTTCAGGGAAATGCCAGATATTTTTTTTACCAAATACAACCAATTTTATGTTGAACTTCTTAGTCGTTGTATATGACTGTTTATTTATATGAATCGACACTCTTCTAATTATCTAGAGTGAGCTATGCAGATCAACGAGAAACAATTAGTTTTTCTTATCCTTCTCTCAGCCAAATACTTAAGCTTCCTCTCTTTGTATTCTATAAAGTTCAATTTGTTTTTGGTGTTTTATATGCTGTCTCGTTCTTATTTTCTTTATGTTTTATTTATATTTGAAATTCAATTATAAATTAACTGAAATGGATTTGAAATTTTGTTTCATCTAACTTCAACAAATCAGTTTTTATTAGTTGACAGTTTTCTAGAAATTGTCCTTATTAATTCTTTGGGATAAAAAATAAAGCTTGTAGATTGTTTATATGATTTAGTGGGATGTAAGAGAAACTGAGAACTATTATCGTTTCTACTAAATCAACTATTAGTGTACTTGATTAACTTTTCTGTAGCACAACTCTATCTGCATTAGTATACACACCTAGAGGTAACCCCTACTTTCTTAGAGAATTTAACATGCAACTTCAAGTTTATGGACCTGATCAAGTTCATCTATAGCAGAACTCCATTGGATTCTTTTATACATGTCAAGCAGAATCTAATATAAGTAGAGTTAGAGTTGTTGGTTAATTTGGTGTCCCTTTTTTTTAGGTTTGTCAACCCCCTCTCGAACTTGTTTGATTGATTTATTAATTCTTGGCCGATTAAATATAATTTTAGTTGTTGCACCTTTTGTATTTTTGTATTAAAATACTTTTGTTCCACATTCTATTGTCTAGACTGGATTATGGCACCTGATATGAAATGGATGCAACTTATTCATAATAGACTTGGTGATGCGTATATACATGGGGTAGAAAGCTTTTTGAATTATTCTTTTACAAGATTGAGGGAAGCGAATGAAATAAGATGTCCATGTGTTAAATGTTGTAATGCAGTTTCTCGAACACGAGAGATGGTTAGATCACATTTAATAGTACATGTAATGATCCGAAATTATACCTTTAGGTATCAACATGGAGAGAGGACAGGTGAGACAGAAGAATCGGATCCGAATCTGAAGATGATGAAAATAAAATTGGCGAGGATGATGAAGAGGATGAAATACATGAAATTCTTACAGATTTGCATCCTGCTTTTAATGTAGAAAATATGAATACTGGTGATGATGATATTCTCGAGGAGGAACCAAATCCTGAAGCGAAAAGATTCTATAGTGTTTTAAAGGAATATGATCAACCATTGTACAAAGGTTCAAAACTTTCTACTCTGGTGAAATTGCTTGATATTAAAAGTATTGGTCGTTGGAGTAATGACTTATTTAATATGCTCTTGAAGATGTTAAAGAATGATCTGTTGCCTGATGAATCAAACTTTCCAGATTCATATTATGAAGCAAGGAAGCTATTTCGAAGCCTAGGGCTTTCATATGAGAAGATCGATGTATGTAAGAATGATTGCATGTTATTTTGGAAGAATGATAAGTTTGTTGATTCTTGCAAAATTTGTGGTGCATCCAGATGGAAGGAGAATAAACATAGTGGGGAATCCAGATTTATAAAGGGAAAAGAGATACCACACAAGATCTTACGCTATTTTTCTTTAAAGACAAGGCTTCAAAGATTGTTTATGTGCTCAAAAACATCTTCTTTAATGAGATGGAATCATGAAAACAAAGCTAATGATGGGATTATGAGGCATCCGGTTGATTCAAAAGCATGAAAAAAGTTTGATGAACTTCATCAATCCTTTGCTATGGAGCCTCATAATGTTAGACTTGGACTTTCTAGTGATGAAAAAATGGTCTAGAACTCCATAGAGTATTTGGCATGTGGTACTTATTACTTATAATTTACCACCTTGGTTATGCATGAAGTAGGAAAATTTTATTTTGTCAATGTTTATTCCCGGTCCTAGAAGTCCTGGAGATGAAATTGATGTTTATCTTCAACCATTGATTGATGAATTAAATGAATTATGGGAAACTGGAGTTGTTACCTTTGATGCATCAACTAAACAGAACTTCATGTTGCATGCTGATTTATTGTGGACCATTAATGACTTTCCAGCTTACGCAAATCTATCTGGTTGGACTACAAAAGGAAAATTGGCTTGCCCATGTTGTAAAAAAGAAACAATCTCAGAAAGGTTGATACATGGTCAAAAAAAGTGTTATATGGGTCATAGATGCTTTCTTCCTCTTAATCACAAATGGAGGAACGATAAAAAGTCATTTGATGGTACTACAGAGTGGAGATTAGCTCCGAATACATTGTCTCGTGATGACATACTTGATCAAGTGGCTGATTTAGATGGGTTACCTCTAACAAATGATCCAAAGAAGAAGATTAAAGTGTCACATGAGAATAGAGGTGATAATCGGAATAAGAAGAGTATCTTTTTTGATCTTCTATATTGGAAAACTTTGTTGTTGCGGCATAATTTAGATGTGATGCACATTGAGAAGAATATATGTGATAATATTTTGGGAATAATCTTAAATATCAAAGGCAAAACAAAAGACACCCTGAGTAGTCGCTTGGATTTGCAAGAAATGAACATCAGGAAAGAATTGCATCCAAAAATAATTGGAGATAAGTATGAGCTACCAACAACATGTTTCACATTATCTCCCGAAGATAAGCACAATTTTTTAAATTTTTTGAAGGATTTAAGGGTTCCTGTTGTGTCTTCATCAAATATTTCTCATAGTATCAATATGAAAGATCACAAAATCACAGGATTAAAAAGTCATGATTGTCATGTTCTTCTTCAACATTTTGATCCCACTTGCCATACGTATTATGATTTGCAATGAGGTGTGTGATCCAATAATTGAGTATTCATTGTTTTTCAATATTCTTAGAGCAAAGTCCTTAAAGCTAGAGGAGTTGGAACAAATAGAAGAACAAATTCCTGAAACTTTATGCAAGTTAGAAAAGGTTTTCATTCCTGCTTTATTTTATGTCATGGAGCACTTGCCAATTCATTTAGCTAATGAGGCAATGATTGTTGGACCCGTTCAATACCGATCAATGTATCTAGTGGAGCAATGGTTATACTTTTTGAAGCTTTTTATTCGTAATAGATCATGCGTTGAAGGTTCTATTGCAGAGGGACATATAGCAAATGAATTTACGACCTTATGTTCAAGGTATTTGCATACAATGGAAACAAAATTTAATCTCCTTGAACGGAACTATGATGGGGGTGCTATAGAATCGGATGGAGGTTTAATTATTTTTTGTCAACCTGGAAAAGCTTTAAAAGGTGGCAAGACAGACCGACTTGATTTAAAAGAAATGGAGCAAGTCCATAATTATATTTTGAAGAATTGTGTGATGAAGTTCAACCATTTCTCGAGTAAGTAATTACTTTTCAAAATAATGATTTTTTAATTCTTCAAAATGCTTCAAAATATAATTCTTCTCGAGTAAGTAATGACTCTTATTATGCTTGAATCTTCTATAGAGAGTTTTCTCAAGTTCCAAGTGATTCCTCTCAAAAAAATCCAGATAGGGAATTCATCAGCTGGTTTAAAGAAAAGGTGAATACTATTTAAAAATTATTATTTTCAAATCATGGAAATAATATTTGCTAAACTATGTTCTTTGTCATGATAGATTGTTGGATTATACAAACATGACAATAGTAAGAAAATGGAAGATTTACTCACATTGTCACGTGGTCCTATGAAATATGCGACAGGTTTCAAAGGATACATTATTAATGGGTATAGATTTCATGTACAAGATTATGATAATGGTTTGAGGACTCAAAATTGTGGTATAGTTGTTGCTGGTGAGACTGGAAGAAGATAGAATCATTGATTACTATGGAGAACTAACAGAGATTCTTGAATTACAATTTATTAGGGGGAGAAGATTGGTTTTGTTTAGATGTATGTGGTATGATGTATATGACAAAGAAAGGGAAGTTAAAATAGATGAATATGACTTTGTAAGGGTTAACCCCCATTGATTTTTGAAAACCGATGAGCCTTTTGTATTAGCCAATCAAACATCACTAGTGTTTTATGCTAGAGATCATTCTAATAAAGGTTGGAATGTGGTGCGAAAGTGTATGCCTCGTGATTCTTTTGATGATATGCAAAAGAATGATAGTGATTCCGAGGATTTACATGATTCAATTGAAAGGAAAAGAAAAAGAACTCATACAGGTTTGGAACTTCATAGTTGATACTTATATTTTTAAATTACATGTATATATTCTAAATCTTCTATATGTAATTTTGATCCATTGAAGTAGTTAGAGTGAATAGAGGTTGATCCAATAACAATATCTTCTGTTTGATTATCCTAGCTATTTTTATATTTGTTCTATGTTAATATCCATCCTAAAAGATACTTAGCTAAATGTACTCTACTGTTGGACTTTATGATAGGATGAAATGAGTCCTTTAAATTTTAAGAAATCTGAAATGGGATCAAGTTCAAAGAATTTAAAGCAATCATTCCTTCCACCTGGTGCATTAGCCAGGGGACGAGGGCAAAGCCTCAAATCTATGGGATCTGTAAGAGTAACTGCTGAAAAGAGAACCTTGATTGATCCAACAAACAGAATGCTAGAGACTCTGAGAAGCAAATCTGGTATTATATTTTATGTTTTGAAGATACAAATTTTTATTGCTAGGTGTTGTGTTTTATATTCTCAATCTATAGAGGTCTGTACATTCAGTTCTAAATAGACGTTTTCTTTATGTTTATTCCAGCTCTAACTTTAGGAAAGTGCACTTTCATATTTATCTCGAATAGGTCTATATTGATGTTTGTTTAAGAGATTTATTTTAGGAAATCTTGTATGAAGAAGCCTCAGAAAGGAATTCAGGTTATTTAATGTACAGCTAAAGACTTTATAATGTTTGAATTGTAGAAAAGGAAACCGGGCAGAACTTTACATCTATGGGATCTGTTAAAGGAAGTATTGTAGTACAAGGAATTTCGATTGGAAAAAGTAAAGGTTATAGTGCTGCATATTCTGACAGGAATGAACTAGCATCAGACAAGAATCTTATGCAACCTTGTCTTGATCTAATAGAAGATGATCCTCAGGAAAATCTTGATGAAATGCAAGAGGTTGCGAGATGTAAACCAGGTTTTTGATCTTATTTTATTTTCTTAGTATACAATTTTTTATTATTGTTAGACGACTAAGGATGTATAATGTTTGAATTGTAGCAAAGGAGAATGGACAGAACTTTACATCTGTGTGCTCTAGTAAAGAAAGTAATGTTGTACAGCGAATGCCAAATGGAAAAAGTAAAAATTATAGTGTTCCAGCTTCTGGTAAAAATGAACTAGCACACAATAAGAACCTTATGCAACCTGGTTTTGATCCAATTGAAGTTGATACTTTAATTTCTTATCATGATCTTGAAGTAATGGGACGAGGAAAAGGGTTTACATCTCTCAACTCTGTTGGAGGAAGCATCGAAAAGAAAAAAAGGATTGGAAACAACAAAGATTGAGATACTGTCATTTTGAAATTATAATGTGAATTTTCGTTTTCCCCTGCTCTGTGATCTATAACTAAGTAGATGTTTTCTTTATGTTCATTCTAGCTCTAACTTTAGGAAAGTGCACTTTCATATTTATCTCGAATAGGTCTATATAGATGTTTGTTTAAGATATTTTTTTTGGGAAATCTTGTTTGAAGAAGCCCTAGAGAGGAATTCAAGTCATTTACTGTACTGATTAACACTTTATAATGTTTGAAATTGTAGAAAAGGATACCAGGCAGAACTTTACATCTATGGGCTCTGCTAAAAGGAAGTATTGTAGTAAATGGAACTTCGATTAAAAAAAGTAAAGGTTGTAGTGCTGCACATTCTGATAGGAATGAAATAGCATCGGACAAGAATCTTGTGCAACCTTGTATTAATCTAATATAGAAGATGAAACTTCCTTCCCTCATGAAAATCTCGATGTAATGCAAGAGACTGCGAGAAGTAAAACAGGTTTCTGATCTAATTTTATTTTCTTAGTATACAATTTTTTATTATTGTTAGACGACTAAGGATGTATAATGTTTGAATTGTAGCAAAGGAGAAAGGACAAAACTTTACATCTCTCAGCTCTGTTAGAGGAAGCGTCGAAAAGAGAAAAATGATCGGAAACAACAAAGGTTTAAATTCTGTTGCATATGATCAGAATGTCGTTGCACAGAAGACTAATGTCGTCCCTCCTTATTTTGATGAAATGGAATGTCATACTTCCTTTCCTCATGACAATCTTGAAGTAATGCAAGATACTTTGAGAAGCAAATTTGGTATTATATTTTATTTTCTCAACCTGTATATTTCTTTATTGATTTAAGTTTGAAATTTTATTATTTTCTTAATATAGGCAAGGCAAACAAAGAGATTTTTACATCTCTGGATTCTGACAGAGGGAGTACTTTTCAGCAGAGAACTTCGATTCGAAAAAGTAAAGGGTATAGTGTGGTATCTTCTGATACAAATGTACTAGCGCATAATAAGAACCTTAGGCAACCTGATTTTAGCCAAATAGAACATGATACTGCCTTTCCTCATGATGAGCTTGAAGTAATGCAACATGATTTGAGAAGTAAATCAGGTATTTATCGACTTTAAGGTCTTATATATACAGTAGTCCAAGTATGTACACCAGAAAAGCAAGTAGATAACCCCCACATGTACCTATAAGAACTTCTAAGTACTACTGATATGGAATTGCTTCAAGTATATTCCCTTTTTAGTTTTCTATGGATAGAATCTCTTGAGCTTTAGTAGGTAAATTCATTTTTCTGTTAGTGGATTGAGTTTGTTTTAATGTTTGATTAGCAAGGGAGCGAGCACAAAGTTTTACATCTACGGGCTCTATAAGACGGTGCGCTGAAAAGAGAACTTTGAATGGACAAAGTAAAGATTCTGAAAATGCAGAGTATGAACTGAATGAACTCGCTCAAAATAATAATTGTGTTCTTTCGGGATCAGATCCAATGGAAGATGATCCTACCCTCCCTCGAGATGAAGTTGAAGTGATGCAAGACAATCAGAGAAGAAAAACAAGTATATAACTCTCTTAAGTTGTAGGACGTCTTTATTGTTTACAAATTGAGCTTCTTTTATGTTTGACTTATATCAAAACTTGTAGGTTCATTTGAATTTTAGAAGGTTAAAAAGGTTAGAGGACCAAATTTGTGTAAAGTTGTTACATGACTCAAACCTGGAGAAAAGCTTAGAGTCACTTTTTATCATAATCTAGTTGTTCGGGATCATCATGCTTTATTTTCGAGACACTTAGGTTCCTTAGTTCGTGATTGTAATATGTGTCCTTTGCGGGTACACTCATGGACAGACATCGAAGAAGCTAATTTGGAACACATGTGGGGAGCTTTCACTCTAAAGATTTAAATGATTACTACTAATTGAATTGCTATTTATTGAATCTTGCTGTTGGTTCATTTCTTCGACATTCACGGCAACATATTACAATATTAAGTAATAGAAGTAAAGTGCAGACCAATTACCTTTTTGAAAATTTAGCATTTGATCTTAGTACAGTGTGCTTTGCTAGTAATCAGTAAGAGCTTCTTCATCTCGTCTTCTTATATTATCTTAGTATAGTGTGGTTTGCTAGTAATCAGTAAGATCTTCTTCATCTCGTCTTCTTTCTTTCTTTCATATGCTCTGTTATTTGTCTATCTATTGTCTACAATATTCCCTCTGTCATTGTCCATAATCTGCAATTGTCCCTCTGTTTTCAGCCCACCCCATCAAGTGTATCAATAATGTTACACTTACAACCTTGTTCATTATATATTTAATAGTTGATCTTAGTACAATGTGGTTAGCTAGTAATAAGTATTCTATTCTTCATCTCGGTTTCTTAACTTATCTTGTCGTGACACTCTAGACACTGCATGCTATGTTTTTCATCTCATCTTTTTTCCTTCCTGATCTTCTTCTTCCTATTCTTATGCTCTGTTATTTGTCTATCTATTGTCTACAATATTCCCTCTGTCATTGTCCATAATCTGCAATTGTCCCTCTGTTTTCAGCCCACCCCATCAAGTGTATCAATAATGTTACACTTACAACCTTGTTCATTATATATTTAATAGTTGATCTTAGTACAATGTGGTTAGCTAGTAATAAGTATTCTATTCTTCATCTCGGTTTCTTAACTTATCTTGTCGTGACACTCTAGACACTGCATGCTATGTTTTTCATCTCGTCTTCTTTTCCTTCTGATCTTCTTCTTTCTTTCTTATGCTATGTTATTTGTCTATCTACTGTCTTCAATGTTACACTTACAAGTTACAGCCTTGTTGATTATATATATGTAACAATTGATCTTAGTACACTGTGGTTAGCTAGTAATCAGTAAGAACTTCTTCATCTCGTCTTCTTATCTTATCTTGTTGTGACACTCTATACATTGCATGCTATGTTTTTCATCTCGTCTTCTTTTCCTTCTGATCTTCTTCTTTCTTTCTTTCTTTCTTATGCTCTGTTATTTGTCTATCTACTCTCTTCAATGTTACACTTACAAGTTACAACCTTGCTGATTTTATATATATATATATATATATATATATATACGTAACAGTTGATCTTACTACAGTGTTGTTTACACTTTCGTTTTAAAATTTTGAGTCTCTTGTTTAATGATATCATTAATATATATTAGGAAAAATTTGACAGTGATGACATGAATGGTCATAGAGATCATGTATTGAAACATATGAGAAGGTTATGGAACAATTGGAGAGGATCACTCCACATGAATATAAAGTCAAAACCATTGAAAGAGGTTCTCAAAGATGTGTGCCACAG